GGACTCTCATCAAATTATATATCAAATTGAATCCGTGTTATTTTGAATTTATAATCTTATTTTTTATTGTAAATATGTAATAATTTAATGTTTAAATTACGAACAATACAAAAAATTTAACATCCATCATTATTCATTACCTAAAAACAATTATTATGTCATTGTTTGATTAAAAATTTTACTAGCATTTTAACAAATTTTGAGTTAATGTGTACAAGAAGCAAATCTTAAAATACAAGTACACTTATTCACGATATTGCATTTATAAAGATAACTCTAATACGATAGCGAGATATTATAATATCAAGAAGGCAGATACAGTTATGTCGGAGTGCTGACCTGACATATTCATAACAATGCTAGGCGTGTCATCGATGTGTTGCAACTGATTTCAATGACCGTCTATGTATTTTGTTCGCGTTACCGTCGATCGCGACGCATAAGCATATGCGTGCACCGTACATAATCGAAACGCACTATTGTGGAACGGTATATGTAGATGTTATACTAATACACGAATCATGACGTACTTATGATAACTGTCTTGCACAGGCGGTTGCTGGCACGAAGATGCCTTAAATGTCAAGGCGAGGACACGGTGGACTGCTTGAACACACAAGCCGTCTCTCTTTGGTCTGCACGCTCGGCTGATGTACTCCGCGAAAGGGAACTTCGCATTCATTGAAAACTTTCCTGTCAAGCTTGAATAATCTCTAATCACTGCAGTCTCCACTGCATTATAGAGACTACGAAATAATTCCGAGAATATTATAGAAAGTGATAGTTCCGGTATATAATGGTTATACACAAAATGAACAATTTTTCATAACATCTAAACAGCATCTCATAGATGCTAATCTGAAAATAATTTTGATGAACCATCAAAATAATTATATAGAAAATTCAAATATAATGAATAAGAAATTTTAACTCTAGTAATCAGCTTGAGCTCCTACATAATTATTTTTATAGTTTAACAAAATTATTTTCAGATCTGTATTTAGCTAAATTTTTAGATTTTATTTTAGTAAAATCGTTCTTTCCTTGTATTTATTCTATTTTTTTAGAACATTTTCTTGAATTAGAAAAATGAAGATCTGAAAACACGATAGAAAAATGCTGTCTTCAATGCTATATGAGAATGATAAAGAAAGCAAATTTTAAATTAGTATCTCTCTTTTTTTATTTAATTTCCATAATGCGTAATTCCATTATTACGTAATTGAATTAATATTAAAAGCTATCATTTGTAAAAATACTACTTTGAAACAATATTAAAATATTAAAAATTACATAACAGAAAATTTAATATTCTTCTGTCATGTTCGTATGAACGACTATTGATAGTAGTAGGTAATTTGTGACGGTTGATTTAAAATTAATTTCCTGAAATTAAAGTTGACCGACTGTTTCGCTCATTACACGGATTTTTGATATACGTAACAAGACATTTGAAAGCGCGAGGAAAGTTCATGAATGACAAGCTGCTGAATTTAGGAGAATAGTTTTAGTACTTATAAAACATTTTTCTGTTCGTGCGTTGCATGTGTGTGAACTTTCTCCCGATCGCATTGATGTTCATTGTTTGAACGACAACATTAATTTCCTGTATAATTGAAGGGAAACTTTTTTCTGTATTTTAGGACTCCGTGGCTTCGGCGTCAGAGATAGGCGAAGAATATGACGATTCCGACATGTATATGGAGCCGGATGAATCTGGAACGACTTCGCTACCAGATCGCACAGAGGAAAGCTCACAAAAGAATCAAAACGAAACATTAATCGATATTATCGACAAAAATAACGAGAAATCATCCGAAATTGAGAATCCTGAAACTTCTAAAGATCAAGAGGCAAAGAACACGGATCATACTGGCATTACACAGTTTGCCGATGCAGGCAGAGGTTTAGAAACCGAAAGTCAAAATTTCTTCCCGACCTTTGCGGAACTCTTTGGAAATCACAGACTTTCATTTGCGGAACAGCAGCAGCGATATCGTCCTAACAGATTCCTAGGCTATTTCCAACGCGATCGTAATTATCAAACCGCCGCGACTAAGGATCAACACTCTATACTAGGATCAGGTAACTTCGGCGTGATCCGTGGAGGTACTTATTATCCGGAGGACAAAGAGAATGACGAGTACGCGATAGACGAAAGTCTTTACAATCCATACTATCATAATCGTGGTCGTGCGCAGTATTATAGAAATCCAAAACCGCAGCCAATTCGGGGCGGTGACTTCTTCGCAAACTTCCGTGATTTTGCTGACATTACGGCACCGCCAAAGTCCAGTTTCTCACATCTTTCCGTAGTATACGCTAACAAGAACGGCAGTTCGACTGGACGTGTCACGGAACCGAGGAATATCATCGAGACTCTCAGGATGTTGGAGGAAGAGGAGCAATCTAACGAGGAAGAAGTGTCCACGGAAATACCGAGGAAAAAGCAGAGCAAGGGCAAGGTGAAGCTTATGAAGATGAAACAGTACGAGGAGGACAAAGCCAGAAGATCTCGCATGTCCGTCGAACCGCTACTCGCTCTCAGCTGAGCGTAAATAAATATTGCTAAAGTGTATGTTAATATGGACGCAAACTTCGGGATTTCTCCCAAATTTGGCCTCGAGATCAGAACCAAAGTCTGAAAAGCGTCATTTTTTTATTATTGGAGGAGAATGTATTGAAACGTGCAGGAACAGAAAGTTCACATCTTTGTTCATGTGCGGACGATACTATGCGCGCATACGAACTTTTCGATCAAACCGAAAAGCTGGCGACTGGAGAATCGTATTTAAAATTAACGCGCGACACGTTGCCGGTTAGACAGTATATATAATTCCTATTATTGGAATTCCAACGATACTCTGCATCGATACAGGAATAAACGAAAACGTTTGTTTTAATCTTCCGGAGCTGATGTGAATTTGTTGGATCCACTCAATTATATTCTTTATATTACATCTGCAAATTTATTATTATTATCAAAATAAATATAGTATTCATTTTTTTTCACACACAAGTTATACATTTTTATTGATTTTTTGAAATTAATTAATGCTTTTAATCAACATATATTAAACGAATCTTAGTATCAGTATTTATCAACTCCGGAAGGTAAATTTAATATTGTACAAAACTTCTATATCATTTCCTGAATGATGCGAAAATTTGGATTAATTAATAGATCTTAAGATAATAGCATTAAGAATATAAGGCATTGCCGTTCCTGTTTATTGACCATCGTTAGATCTAAAACGCACGTGGTCTTAACGTTTAAATTATTTCCTAAGCTAGTAATCGCATGAGTTTGAAAGATCCTAAATATAAGATTTTTCAAGTCTACAGTGCGTCGATTAAGAAATTCTATGTAGTGCTATATATGTTCCGCCGATCATACAAACACCTTCTGGAGAAACTATCCCATTTCGGCAAGGCGCTTGCAAAGCTAACTAGCAACGATTATTCACAGAGACCTTTTACGATAGAATTCACTTGCTCATACGTGAACGTTACGCTCGAGTAAGTCGATTCCGGAATCGGTAACTCTTACCAACGATACTTGCGAACTAAAATCATCGTGCGCGCAGTCTCATTATTCTACAACTATGCAAAACGTGTAAGCACATAGGATATGCTTCAGAATATGCATGAGATCTTTTTCTTAGATACAATTTTTACATTTATATTCGTTGCTCTTCTTTCTTTAAAACGTACCATAGTTTATATTCTAGATGTTAAAAGTGTAAAAATAAGAAACGAAAAAATGTAGATTTGTGAAAAAAACCATAGTTTTCAATTTGGATATTAAAAGTGTAAAAATAAAAAACGAAAAGACGTAGACTTGAGAAAATACACGCAACAAAATTTTGACAGCATTGAATAGACTTACAAAAACTTCGGTATTATTAGAAATAAATTATTTTAATGTGCTCTTCTATATTTTAATGTTTTAGCTAAAGCGGAAACGGGTTGCCATCGCATTTTTATGTGAAATATTACACAAAATACGCGTGGCTTTGCGTGCATCAGAAAAATTAATTTTAATTGGCTATACTTTAAAAAATCCGCATATACATATATTCAGTAAATTATAACTGCTCATTTTGTATTGATTATAAAAATATATTAATTATTTTTCTCCATACTTCTTAGGTTCAAAATTTATGATGAAATTGTTATTTGATAAGAAAATCTTTAAACGTATTTCTTGCCAATTGCAATGATTATGAAATAAAGAGTATTATAATGGAGAGGTCGTGCCAGAATTTCCGTAGAATTCTAGAACGACTTTCACCCTGGATGAATTCATAGCGAAGACTGCCATGTTATCTAACAAAAGAAAAACAAAAAGACAATTCTAAATCGATAAAAAATTTTCGCCGCAAATCTCGATTTATTGTTATTTCACTTGTTGTTGATTATTTTAAATAATTAGTTTTATTGACTTACTTTAACGTTCAAAATGCGTGCCCTATTTACTTTATTTCAAAAGGGCGAGATAGAGAAATAAAATAAAATATTTCTTTCAAAAATAACGTTCCTGTCCCATAATCCTATAAAAAATTAATTCGACAAAAAGTAGGAATGTTCCGATCTCCAAAAAATCGATCTTTCCAAACTAGCGATTTTAAGTTAACCTATTCTACAATTTCAAAAAATTGATTCTTCTAACTAAATTCTTCTAAGTTTATTTTAAACTCTTTCTTTGTAAAAAATTTCTTTGTAAAAAAATCAGTGCTGCTTTTTTTAAATAAATAGCTTTGTTTTGAGTTTATTTTTAATGAATTGATCCGGAGATTGCACATTCCTAACGAAAAAGCGTATTTTGCTATACAATAATTTTAATATTTTTGTAAACTTGCATAGAACAAAAGTATTTGTATTACAAAAATAATATACAGTTAATGTAATAAAAATTTTTGTTCTTATATATAAATATAAAATACGTAAATGGTATACAAATAAAATAATATAAACTATTAAAGTGTAATGTGGTATATGTGATTTTTAGAAACATATGCATATGAATTACTTATTGATGCATCTTTTTAACATTATGATAAGTTTACCAATACCATCATAAATATCTGAAAAAGTAGCTGGTTCATATAACCAGGCTGGTGTACTGAGAACTCCAAAATTTTTGTCAAACGTTACTCCTTTAACATCTTTCATTTCTATTTTAGCACCCATATCCTTAACTTTCTTGATAGCATCAGCATGTGGCCAATCATTTTTAGGTGCTAAGAAATAATTCATAAATATTACAAAACGCAGATATTAATAATAAAATGAACTGACTTACATTCCTTGCCAAGTGTAATTTTCACACCCTTCAACACTTTAGCAACAAGTGCATTAGCTATGCACATAGTACCGATCGGTTTCTTATCGCAATGAAAATCTTCGATGAGTTTCTCCAAGTCGGGTAGAACAGTACAATCAGTACCTTTTTCGGCAAAATTGCTCCTTTATAAAAAAAAGTTTATTTTTATAAAGATAATTAGAAATTTGCTTTAATTAGAAATTATTATAGTATCCCTGACAAAAAATTTTTTACGAAAATCTGCATAGAGTGGCACTTTATTTGAAAAACTAAAAAATCCTCCGTTCTCAAACACGCCACTCTAAGTCCTATTATGAATATCTATGAAAAATTAAGAATTTCTAAAATCATGTCTCAACCTTCTAGTTTTTCTGTACTTTTTCGTAAAAATTATTTTCCATCAATATATTTTAATATCGAAATCTATAACATCTATGCACATTCACTATTAAAATTAAGGTATTATCAAGAATATCTTTTCATTTTATGCATGTATGTGCATTTTTATTAACATAATCTTATTTTACTTTTTTTCTATTTTACTTTCTATTTCCACATCATCATATCAACACATACAAAATGCGTGCAGCGCCGAATCCTCCAGGTATAATAAGGGCATCATGTGTACAAGCTTCGCACTCGTGTAGAGGTTTTATGCACCCTCTTGCTAATCTGGCACTTTCAACAAGAGCATTTCTAGAATTTTCAGTATTCATCTCTTTGGTAAAATGATTGACTACACCACAAATTTCAATGTCCGGAGCATAAAATAATGGCTTCATTTTTTTATGCTGTAAATGTATAGCTGTTGAAATAGCTTCTGAAATTTCGGTGCCGTCAAGATTACCACATCCGCATAATATCTTGAAAAAGCAAAATATATAATTGTCAAAAATTATTAATTATCAAAGATCACGTCATCACATCATGTTTAAAAGATTTATTAAAAAAAATTAAAATTGACGCGCGCGCATATTTAAAGTTTCTTTTAACTTCATATATTTAAAATAGTATTAATCATAACAAGAAAATATGATTGTTCTGGAAAATTGTAAACATAAAAAGCTAACTAATAATTACAAGCGCTGAAAACTATTTAACGATAACTGTAATGTAAT